AGAGAGAGAGAGAGAGAGAGAGAGAGAGAGAGAGAGAGAGAGAGAGAGAGAGAGAGAACTCGATTTTGAAAATAAAAACACGTCGACAAAAATTCAATTAGCCACATAATCAGTTTCGTTGAAAATAATGACTGACACGACAAGAACAAAGCCACATGTACTTCTATCTCGCGCTGCCTCAGTCGACATCACAGATCAAGTCACACTCCACGTGGCTCATTAGATCGTAATTGATACGTCACATATTCGAAAGTAACCCACTCGACATCGCGTCATCCACGGTGCACTTCCAGAAGTGCATTGAGTGATACGTGGTAACTTCGAGGAAGGCATTCGACACCTGGCGCTTGCGGGAATGCGATTAATGCACATGCCTGATACCACACAAAGCGACGTTGCGTGGACGAGGATAAGCGCGAGCTGCCAGGTAATCCGAGTGCGATGTAAAAATAGACGTAGCAATCGGGAGACGCTGAGTGAGCGATCCGGTGGGAACACACTTCCTTCCTCTTAGCGCGGCTTAGCGGCACTTGCGCGTTAGTCGAGATCGAAGAGCCGGTATCGCGAAGTGCTGGGGGTTTTGTGGTGGACTTGGCTCTCGGGTGAAGAGTGAGACAGAGAGAGAGAGAGAGAGAGAGAGAGAGAGAGAGAGAGAGAGAGGGAGAAAGAGAAGGAGAGAAAGAGAGGCCGACGAGCTTAGAACAGAGGAAAAAGATGTATGTGAGAGAACGAGAAAGGGACAGAGATAGGGATAGAGAGGGAGAAAGAGAAGCGCAAGTGCGGTAGCACCAACGGCCAGATAATTTATTATGGCATTACTCACCGGCGGACACCTCAATGGTCAATGGAGAAGCCACGTGTGTATAGCCGGTGCGCCCAGGCGCGCCTCCTCGCATAGTTGATATCATTTAGTTCCCCTCGCGCGAGCGCACCGCGTCGGCGGTTCGCGACGGAGGTGGACGGCGGCGCGCACCTCCTCGGCCTCCTCGTGGCAGTGGTGGCGAGCTTCGGCGCATCGTGTAGATCGGTCGAGCCCGATAGACCGGTTTCGTGTCACGGCGTCCGCCGCAATTCGTCCCGGCGAATTCGAGGTCGCGAGGATGATCCCCCCGAGAGGATCGCGAACGGGTCAACCGCGTTCTCGCGGATGTTCCCGGTGGACTTGTCCATCTCGTGGCCGGCTGGACATTCTCGCACGGGCGTGACGTAGAGTCTATTCTACTTTCCGAATGTCCGGAAACGGACGACGAAGTGGGTCACAATAATTGAGACTGTCAGAGGTAAAAAGTCAGAGGCTTTTTGTCCATTTTTTTTTATTTGTACTTATAACATCAGGATACATTAGTGCCGGTTTTCGTAGTGAAACAGATCAATGCATTTAATTTTTGCAAAATAAATTCGCACACACAGTGGGGTTGATTAATTTAGCCCCTAAGGGCTCAATCGCAATTTGGGATCCAAATGATCTCTCAGGATCTCTTCTGAGATTTCATAAAAAGCGTTGTTATTAAAAGAAACGTCGACATGCCTTCGTCGATATAAAAGTGAGCACTGCGATCGTTTTAGGGTCGCTTCTATAGATACGAACTGTCGAGAACTCGCGAACGAAACTTTTTAATGTGTATCTCTCCGGGAGAATACGACGGTGAGAACGACTGCGTCTGCCGCTGACAAGTGGTTACTTACGGAAGCGTTAAAATGCGTATTCGCGTGGTATATAGGTGCGATCGATCGCGACGGAATAAGCCGCGCCGTGTCGGGAATAACGATCCTTGCCCGAGCCCGCGGGCCGTCTCCAGCTTTACGATCGGCCGAGTGATTTTTCTATTTGTTTCTAAAAAAAAAAAAAAAAGAAAAGAAGCGAGGAGACTCGTAAAAGGCAGCCATTCGTTCGCCGCCGTAAAGTGGCCAGTCGCGAAGGGCTGAAAGGGAGGGTTACACGGGCCATCAAGGTTGCACAATCTGTCATACAAGTTTGGTGGGGCGGCAACCTGTTGCTTCATTGTTACTCCGAGAATGTGCACACGGCACCGCGTATATAAACTACCTTTCTCCGGCACCTCCACACGAGCCCGCGCGCTATAACATCGTCGTATTGCACCGGGTTGTGCGTTTCGTACGAGACTCGTTTTCAGCGACGCAACGTGACGCCACATCGTGTGCGAAGTCTAGGTAATTGTCCCGTCGAATTTGTTGAACATTACGAAGGAACATTTGTGAGGGTCCCTCGTCGACTTTTCGACGAGCCACGTACATATCGCAGTCCATTTGAAGGAAGGACAAGCTTTTTTGTGTCCTTCCTGTCACATTTAAGGATCGAAACGCTCATATGTATACGCGTCATTGACTGACGAGCGATAAGAGGCGTCACGAGGCATTACGAGGCGTAGCACGTGCTTTAATGCGTTCGTTATCAATGCCGCCGTCGGTATCACGTTCATTAACACGTGTTTCTCTGTTACAGGTGTATCTATGCGAGTATCAACGCCACCAGCGAATATCCGAATTGCCAGGCCGGGTCGACTGTGAGTCACAATTCTGCATCGAGAAACCCGGACAGCTGTCACGAGATGCAGGACGTGGGGACGCATGCAGCGATACATTGCAGATTTCCAAATGTGTCCAATCATTTGTTGTGCGATATATGTACAGTTTCAAAAGATGCTTTGACATACCCTTACTGAGAATAAAAAATACCCGAATCGAAATATATGTCGGCATTCATAGCTCGTTACTTAAGTCATATAATTTATTATATTTCGTCTATCTCTTCGTATTCATTTTAGATAAAAATATTGTCATACAGTCGAATAAGGATTTAGGAATATAAATATATAATTAATTATATTTTTAATTAAAAACTGTAGATAACTGTAGATAAACACAGAGATAACTATAGAATCTAGTAGAAGTTATACATGCTGTATATTGTACAATTAACATGTATTACATATGTAATATTTCTATTGTGATTTCTATTGTATTTTTACTTTTGTGCTATTTTAATAAAATAAATATAATGTAATGTAAATTTGAATAAAGTACTTTATCACACATAACAGTCTTATTATCATATTTTCATTATCACTTCTCTTCAAAACAACACCTTCAGTTTTGGCGTTTTGGTATTAGGAGAACATAATGTGAAGAAGTATCAGGACCCTTTAGTGGGAATTCGAAATACCTCCTTGTGCATCATATTCTCCTGACACAAATCTACGAAACAGAAGAATTTCTGATTTCTGGTTTTGGCGTTTTGGTATCAGGAGGACATGATATGCGAAGAGGTAGCAGGAGCTTCTGGCGCGAATTTGAAATACCTCCTTGCGCATCATGTTCTCCTGATACAAATCTACGAAACAGGAAAATGTTTCCTGGTTTTGGCGTTTGGGTAACAGGAGAATATGCTGTCCGAAGAGGTAACAGGAGCTTCTGGCGGAAATTCGAAATACCTCCTTGCGCATCATATTCTCCTGATACAAATCTACGAAACAGAAGAATTTCTGGTTTCTGGTTTTGGCGTTTTGATATCAAGAGAACATGATATGCGAAGAGGTAGCAGGAGCTTCTGGCGGGAATTTGAAATACCTCCTTGCGCATCATATTCTCCTGATACAAATCTACGAAACAGAAGAATTTCTGGTTTCTGGTTTTGGCGTTTTGATATCAAGAGAACATGATATGCGAAGAGGTAGCAGGAGCTTCTGGCGGGAATTTAAAATACCTCCTTGCGCATCATGTTCTCCTGATACAAATCTACGAAACAGAAGAATTTCTGGTTTCTGGTTTTGGCGTTTTGATATCAAGAGAACATGATATGCGAAGAGGTAGCAGGAGCTTCTGGCGGGAATTTAAAATACCTCCTTGCGCATCATGTTCTCCTGATACAAATTTACGAAATTGGAGAATTTTTTCCTGGTTTTGGCGTTTTGGTAACAGGAGCTTCTGACGAGAATTCGAAATACCTCCTTGTGCATCATATTCTCCTGATACAAATCTACGAAACAGAAGAATTTCTGGTTTCTGGTTTTGGCGTTTTGGTATCAAGAGAACATGATATGCGAAGAGGTAGCAGGAGCTTCTGGCGGGAATTTGAAATACCTTCTTGCGCATCATGTTCTCCTGATACAAATCTACGAAACAGAAGAATTTCTGGTTTCTGGTTTTGGCGTTTTGGTATCAAGAGAACATGATATGCGAAGAGGTAGCAGGAGCTTCTGGCGGGAATTTGAAATACCTTCTTGCGCATCATGTTCTCCTGATACAAATCTACGAAATTGGAGAATTTTTTCCTGGTTTTGGTGTTTTGGTAACAGAAGAATATGATGTCCGAAGAGGTAGCAGAAGCTTCTGGCGGGAATTCGAAATACCTCCTTGCGCATCATATTCTCCTGATACAAATCTACGAAACTGGTGATTTTCAAACTTGCCTGTTTTCATTTATTGATATAAAAAAATGAATATTTTAGGAATGGCATAAAAAAATAAAAAGTTGGTTGTGATTTAAGTTGATTTTTATTTATATTTTGATGTACATATATGATATTATACAAACTAAGGTGTAATGTATAAATATGTATGTTACATATAAAATAAGGTATAATAAAATATAAAATAGAAATTAAATATACAATGTTTACAATGTACAATACAATTAGATTACATACTATTTGGTAAAAATTTCGCAGTCGCACGATACTCGATAAAAAATTTGAATGGTCTCTAATTAGTATTTTAATTACATTAAATGCTATAAAGATTTTCTAATTTGCTTTACGATTTTGAAGATGTCCTTACTTTGTCTTTCGCGATAGAATTTTTGGGACCGACCGACAACTCGTCTTAGAAACGCTTTAAACGCTCTTAAATTACATCTCACAACAGCCGAGTCTAATTTTGCAACTGTGATACCGGATCCTTTTCTCGTATTCTCTTACTCTCTAAGATAACATCCTAGAAGTACCCCAATTCGAATACTTGAATTGGACATTATACTCAGCATCGACGTAAGGATACTTGGGCGGAGAATGTGCATTACTAATTTAGGCAAAATATATAGACTGTTAATTTAAGCACGATTATAGTTCAATTTGCGTTAAGGAGAAGTTTCGGCACTTTGGGTCATTCGACTCGCCATCATTCGACTTGGTGTCCAAAGATCTTCAGTACTTCAAGTACCTGAAATGCCGTAACCTTCCCCTTACCGCCAATTAAATCTTCCCCTCATAGAATACACTTTGTCCAGATATTCTTATGTCGACGGTACACAGACAGGTGAAAGTAGGCAATTTCATGGTGCGCTGAACCCGATAAGCAACTCGCGATGTAACACGCGCCGAAGGAGACGATGCTGTAGCTGTCGCAAACAAGCTAGACATTAACGTGACACGATTTTTGTCATTTTTTACGAGTTTGTTTTTACGGATAGCGGCTCGTTACGCTCGGACGCGTAGATTGCCTGAAATCGCGCGCATCGAAAGGGATAAACGTTTAATCCGCGCGCGCTCGCATTTACGAAGGAGGAGGAAACATTCGTACAACTAATTTTCCGTCGATCCTACGTCGGGAGCATCGAACCGTGAATCCTTACCAAATTGGCTTCCAGGAGTCTAAGACTTTAATCAGGGTGCACGTCGAGCTCCACCGAGATGCGCGGGTGAGTTCCGCGAGCGAGTTCCGCGAGCGGCCGATTATTTTGTCGATTAAATCGAGGGTATCGATCGCCACGACTTCGCTCTTGCCACGATCTCTTGCCGGTGTGCGCCGTTGAATTACGGAATTCTTCGACTTCTCGCTTATTGCTCGCAATGCATTTATTCGCGATACGGGAAAAATAGCAGAGCTATATGTACCAATGAAAAGCCGCCGCCATTTGACGCGAATTAATCCTTTGCGCACACTCTCATGTGTCCGTCCTCAGCAGCCGGAGCTGAAACAATGTAAAGGAAATGTCCGCATTATTTGCTTTCAGAAGATCATACAATTAACATATTCGCCACCGGTGTTTTATCCGAAAAACCTTCTCCACAGACCACTTTGTGTTTTTCTTTTCAAGTAATTGTATAAAACATGTTTAATTTGATAATGTGAACATAGAAACTAATTTTCGCTGCTGTATATATGTGATCTAGCGAAAAAATTATTTTACGTAACTGTGTAAAACAGATTTAGCTTAATAATATTGTGAACACAGCAAATATATTTGCTGTGACGTATGTATGACGTTGGTAGCGAATGTGTCAAGAGATACATACAAATATGTCGATAAAAGTGCCTTCAAACGTGACTTATGGCCTTTTGATTCACTCATAAGCACATTTAGAGACACTTTCGTCGATAAAGAAGAGTCCAGAATAAGAACCAAAGAATTATGATATAATCTCGCGAAACCTACACGGAAAAAAAGATCTACTATATGGACAACTAAACATAATTTGCTGTATTAGCCATTTTTTCTTTGCTGCAGGAGCCAATTTCTTTACTACGATAACAAGAAAATCTGTTCCTGCAACAAAAAAAATAACTAAAGCAGTAAATTATGTTTAGTTGTCCATCTGTAGCAAATTTGCTACGTTAGCCACTTTTCTTGTTGCATGAGCAGACTTTCTTGTTATCATAGCAAGGAAACACAGCGAATTATATTTAACTATCCATATGTAGCAAATTAGTTTGCTGCTGCAGCAAATTATTTTTTTCCGTGTAACAGTTATGTGTAGCCTCTTCTTATATTTTACGTAGAAAATAAGTAGAAATATTTGTCACAAGTTGGCTGTCAAGTTTAAATTATTTCGCGAAGGGTTGAACTGTTCGCGAAGGGAGCGCGCGTGCGCAACTTCGTCTCGCGCGTTACCTAACAAGGCCCGCTTGAGTAACTCGCCTCCCACTGCTCGTGGCCTCGCTGCCGTTTAAGAATTTAATAAACGATATCACTGCCGGACTGCAAACACACGGGGGGCTCGAGACTTCCGCCGTGGCGCTGGGTTATTACCCACGTATGCCCGTCTAGCTTGAACCTAACCGGCGGAGTTTAAGGACTTCTGCCATTAAGCGTAGTCGATGGGCTTTCAGATTTCATGGCGCTTGCTTACGGCAGAGAGGAAGGTAGAAGGCGAAGGCGCAGCCGAAAAGGACCCTGATATTCATATAATTTAGATCCAGTTAACACACGATTGCTTCCTCGAGAACGCCTGACTTCTTCCTACCTGCCTGCCTGCCTGCTTGCCTGCCTTCCCGTTTCCCGCACTAACGACCTTCGTCAATCAACAATCTACTACCTGGACTGCGCTCGGCTGAACGCATCGAATCGCGTCGATTTGTCGCGCACACGTGACAGTTGTTATCGATAACGTTTTGTTTAGTTTCTGCCGCGCGCACGCCTCAATGCCCCTCTCGCGAGTTTCGCCGTACTTTTTCGAAATTACAACATTTTGCGGTGCTTTGAATTGTTGTAGAGTGCAAACGCAAACACGGCGGCAGGGAGCGGGGCAGCGAAAATATAAAATACGACAGATATAACAAATAGGAGAAAGGCGAAAAAGGATAAAAAGGGAACGAGTTGAAATGAAAATAGGAGTAAGTGTATCCACCGAGAATCCTTGGATGTTTCATTTAGATAATCTATCCGTATTTTGGACTATCTATTAGAGATTAATTCCTGTATTCATAGTCAGAGCTTATATTTAAGGCCTCCTTAAGTTCATCTTCAGATGCTCTGAAGCCAATAAAATGATCCATAGAGGCATCTGAAGATAAACTCAAGGAAGCCTTAAATATAAGGCCTGACTATGAATACATAAACATTGTGAATTGAAGAGAGAAACGAGAATGTGTTGATCGACATTGAATCTAGCGGTCGTTATTGACGCGTCTCATTGTTACACGCATATACAATCGAGAGAATGCACACTGAAAAAAAAATACTTTGTAAAAATTTGTTTGTTGGATATCAAGTTTATTTCACTTATATTTCATAAATAAATTTTCAAGTGTTTTTTCTCAGCGCACTGACTGAAAAAGTATCTGGAAAATAAAAAATATTTATTCGAT